GGGACCCGGGTGAGCCCGCAAGCCCGACGCCTTGGTGGGACGCCAGGGCTCCGTGGTAAAGCGGTCCGCGCGGGGCCAGGAGGACGTGTCGGGCACAGGCTCTTCCCGGTCGCTCACGCCACAGAGGACCGGCCCAGGTGCGGAGCCCGGCGGCGCTGCTTCAGGTGTTCGCGTGCCTTCCGTTATCTTACGGATTTCTTTGGAGGGAGGCGGCTGGCGGGCAGGGGTAGGGGCGGAGGTTTTAGGAGGTAAAGGGGAGACATGTAATTTGCAGTGGAATCGACGCTTAGGAAGAGGGGACTTCAGCGGGCCCGGGGACAGGCAGCTGAGGCTGCTTGCCGCAGGGCAGGGCAGCGGACTTCATGACAGATGCTGGATGGAGTTTCCGGGGGGCCTCTGGGTCGCCCGACTGGGCCGGGCCGGGGGGAGGATGGGGCTGTGCCTTGTTAGGAGTTGAGAAGGAAAGACCTTTAAAGAGTTGCGGGGAAAAGCTTCACTAATGACGAGAGAACGCGGGCAGGGATGAGGGACACGTTCTTCCCCATCTCCTTGGTATCCCAACATAGAGGGGTCAGTGCATTGCAGGGGAGGACCACAGGCTAGAGAACTGCAGACCCACTGAGCAAAGCTCGCGATGGGGGCGGGGGTCTGGTGTTGCGAGGGTGGGCAGGATGGGAGAAATCGAGCAGCAAGCTCTTTGTCACCTCACCATCATTTCTGCCTGATTAGAGCATGCAGCTACAGGCAACAAATGCTCTGTCTCGCTGTGTTGCTGCTTAAAAGAAAAAGCCTTTATAGTTATCGTGTTTGAAATAATGCAACAGAGAGCATTTCAGGTACCATGTGGTCAAAGGTTCGCTAAGCACTATAGCAAGAACAAAACAACCGAACAAATTGTGCCACCTACTTTCCTGTGGGTCGCAGAAGTGTCGCTTTCTCCCCAAAAGAGATAAAACTTATCAACATAGGTGGCATTTTCCCAAGGGTCCCTTCACCTGTCTTCCTTTCATTCTCGCCTCATTGCTTGCTGTGTCCCTTTGCCTTTCAGAAGTGACCCTGTCCCCTGCCAGGTTCCCTGCTTAGCCTCCCTACAGCCACTGAGCTCACCCTTCTAAGAAGGTGCTCATGCACGCGCAGTCAGTATCACTTAACACTGTTCTTGGAAATGGTAAGATAAAAACAAAAAACACCGGCACCGTGTGTGCAAGTGTGCCCGTCTTTGTAATTATGGAAAGCACTTGCCTCTCCCAGGGTGTTGTCTGCCAAAAATGATGACGACTGATTCTATCTCCCTCCTTCTTCCTCTCTGCACAAATACACACTGCTCTCTCGTCTCAATTCCTTCCTGTCAGTGTTCAATAATGGTTTTACATGAACTTTCTGTTAAGCCTTTTACTACCAAGAGAGAGTTGAGCGGATTGGTAGGAGGGATGCTGGGTTCAGTGATGCTGCTGTGCTTCCTGTCATCACTCACTCATTACATGCACTACTGTACTTAATGCCAAGTGGCAGCAGAAATGATTTCCTCTCCTGCTCGTCAGAATAGTATATTTGTCCTACCCCGGAAACACATATAATTAATAATAAAAGAATAATGCATTTTGCAACCGTGAGAAGAGCAGATGGATGCTGATGTGGTGGTGTTAGTCACCTTTTCTGTTGCTGCTGTTACAAAAACCTTGTGACCACCTCTCCCTTTTGGCTTCTGGTGGGTTAAGCAAAGCATTTGGCCCGTTTACTGCGTTCTCTTTTCCATCTTTCCCTTGACAATAGTTTGTGTATTTTAAATAAAGATTTCATTCTGCCAACCCGCAGGAAGCTTTTAACCAGATGCAGCTGAGCGTGTCGATATCTTATATCTCTTTACTGCTATATGGGGGTGTGCAGCAACTTGAAACTCATCTCTGCTTCGGCACAAGGCTGGCATCTCCCAGAGACAGTGCTCCCTTGGGCTAACTCACTCTTGTCTCTACACACCAGCTTTTGGTGTCCTCTAGAAGAACACAGGATATCTTACACAGTGGAAGAGTAAGTGTGATACTCAACCTTCTTCCTGCTATGCCACTCCTCTTCACTTAATAACACAAGTGTTAGTTGTGATTAGATTATTGTAGAGACTTTATTGTGGAATATTATTTCGCTAATTGAATTGAGATCTCTTTCTTGAAGGTGGCTGCACCAGGACCAATGAATTAAAGAAAATTTCATTTAACTACATCTGGACCTCCTGTGATATGTTGCTTTTTTTCTCCTTCAGTGAAATGTCCTCTTTAAGACATTATTGTATATATTTGCTTTTAAATGTCCATAATTCCTTTAAAGTGGTTCTTGTCAGTGGACCATGTGTTAAAAACAATCACAACCAGTTTGAAATAAAAATAAACACAAAGAGAAAGTAAGATAGGGCAAAGAAGCATAGCCCTGAATTTCAGTCAATTTTGAAGTTTCTTTTAGTAAAGAAGAAATGTGGTAAAATAAAATGTCATTCAGCTTTGTTATGTTTAGGCTTATAATTGATTTTGACAGCCCGAAGTAAGTAGCAGAAATCTCTGAAGTTTATATTTGTATTTTAGATTTTTCAGGGAAATAGTAATTTCTAACTTGACTCAGTTTTTAAATTAGGACTAACAGTGTATAAATAGCATCTCCACAGCAATAATTTTCTGTTCTATTATGTTCCCTAAGTACTTTATTAGCATCGTGGGGAAACTTCCTAATTGTGTAGCACTCTGTGTTGTATAATTGAAAGTAAGAGAGAAAAAAAGGGAAAACAGAAGAAGGGTCAGAAGATAGGGATAAGAAGGGAGCCAGGCAGAGTAAGTCATCTGTTGGAAAAGCAATAATAATGGCGGAGGCATTCCAGGCCCGCTCCTGGTAGGCTGGATGTGTCAATAGTGACCTCTCACATGTTGCCATCTCGTTTGTTTTTGCTTTTTGTTTCAGTCTGTAATAACGGTGTGCACTCAATGTATTCTCCCTCCCCTCCACCTTTCCTTCTAAAATTACGCCAATTGGCCAAAACTACAAATAGAAACAATTTTATATTGATAATAAGTTGGGAAATCATTCACTTAGTGGGCTAAATGTCTCCTGCTTACTTCACATGGGACAAAGATAATCTCACAGTAATCTACCATTCAAATTTTATATGGTCACAGTTAATTACATGGGTCTAATTTACCAAACTTCTCATAGATAACTATAGCTCTCTACCAAGAAAGCTGTGCAGGCGCCTTTATAACACAATGGGGAAATGACAATATAATCTCTCATGTAAGCCACCTTCATGAATAGGGTCACATTTGAGATAATTGTGAGTTCAAGGTGTAGATGTTATTCCACTGAAGTCATCAGGCGGCTCATGCTAAACTGTACACAATCCAGTGGTTTTGCAAAAATGGATTCAGGTATGTATCTATTTATTTTCTCACTGCTCATGTTGATTGTTTTCCATCCCTGTCTCCTATTCCTAACCCCAGACACATGGTGTGCCCCTCTCTGCGACCTAGGTTTTAACCTTTGGATACTGCACCAGTTTGGTTTCCCTTGTGCCCTGGTTTCACTTGGATTTTATCAGTGAGAGGCACAGGAAGAGGAGAAAAGGAAAGAAAGGTGGGGCCATTCTTGTCCCATTTGCTGTACGACTTCTTTCTGAAAGTGGCTTCACAGTCCTTCCTTGTCACCACCTATCCATAGCTCCAGCTCATATTTGCCTTCAGTAACCACATCCTCCCTCCTGCTCCCTCAGCTGTCCACAAAGGCTGGAAACCAGGATACTGGTTTCCCTCGTCAGTTCCCTTATCCTACTGCTCTTCTGGAAAGTATCCCATGTCTAAATTTTCTTTAAAACGATTCTTAATGGTGTCTCTTGTTTCCTCAAGGTACCCCAAAGGATACATTTGTGGTATTTAAATCCAAAGTGTGTGTTCAAATTTACAAATAAATATTTCATTCAATTGTTCTAAAGTTTAACAAATGTATATTGTGTACTATATATAGAAGCCCTCAAATAATTAATATTACTCAAACTGAAAACCATTGTAATACGCTATCATACAATAATTTGATGATACAGCTTAGATGGTGAGTTTTATGTACCAACTAGAATGGACTAAGGGACACCCAGACAGCTATTAAAGCATTGTTTCTGTATAAGTCTGTAAAACTAGTTCTGGAAGAGAGAGTATTTGAACCAGTAGACTGAGTGAAGATCACTCTCACCAGTGCAGACAGGCTTCATTTCATCCATAGAGGAAGGGCAAATTCTCCTTCTCTTCCTCTCCTTGAACTGGAAAGCCACCCTTAGACATGGGAGCTCCTGGTTATGAAGGCTTTAAACTCCCAGACTTACATCCCTCCAGGATCGCATGCCTTTAGTCTCCATCTGAATTACACCACCAGCATTCCTG